CCACCCCCACCCCCGCTGGTATGTTGTGGGTCTATTTTTTGTAATTCCTTTCACGCCCTAAGGAAATTTCGGAAGCGAAAACCAACAACATGGCAGCCCCCCAAAAAACACAAACGCACACAACCAATCAAACGACAGAAGCTCATCCCGCAGTGTTTGAATTGTTCCTCTTCTGTATACAAGTCGGCGGAAAAAAACCCATGTCATCTATTTTGCTCTTCGATCTGTAAGTCTTTCACACATACACACACACATACACACACACACAAACACCCCCTCTCACATACATAAACACACACACATAAACGCGCACACACACACACTCACATACTCAAACAACAAACAAACATACACACACACACACACACACACACACACACACACACACACACAGAGGCTCAATAACATGGAATCTTTCATTTGGAAAGGTTTTCTGTTTCCCTGAACAAACATTAGGCAAACAATTCATAATTTATCGAGGGGCTTAAAAATATTCCCCACCTCAACATCTAAATCAAACTGAAAACACAAGAACAAATCCTCGTGGAAATAAATCGGAAATCAGACAAAATAAAGAAAACAAAAGCATCCAAAAAAACCAAAACAAAAACAAAACAAAGGTTATTATGTAGTCAGAAGAAATAACGAAAAAAAACCCCCAAACTGATTCAATCAAATTAACAAACACGCCATAGAAATAAGAAAGGCAAATCACGATATCATCATGTGTTCACTGACACTTTGGTAATCGACAGCTTTGGTGAAAAATATGTTTTTGAACATAAACCATCATATTTCCCATTTTCAAAAAAGATAAAATCGGAGTCGACCGACATGCTATCTACTTGACCCCCCACCTCACCACTAAACCAACCCATCAAGCAATTAAAAAGGAACCCTAACCATCCCACCAACCAAAAAGCTTTTTAATAACCTAACCTCTCCCCCAACCTTACCAAACCAACGAGCCATCAGCCCACGATTCAAATCAGCCCGACGAATAATCAGAACCCCACCCCCCAAAAAACAACAACAACAACATCAACAACAACAAACAAAAAAACAACAACAAAAAACAACAAACAAACAAAAACAAAGCAACAAAAGCACCCATAAGAGAGCAAAAAAACACATAAAAAACAAACTAAAAACCCCTCAAAAACAAAACAGAGCAAGATCCCACAAAAAGGATCAAATAAACCTCCAGTTCACCTGTCAACTTACAAATCTTTCAATCAACACACCCATTCCCCCACCCATCAATCAATGAACCTACCGATCTGTAAACCTGGCTATCTTTCCACTGACCAACTAATCCAAGACCTACCAAGCAACACCAACCCGCCAACCCACAAACCAAATCAAAAGCATCAACAACTCTCTAAATAACCAGCCCATCCATCCATAAATCTACAAACCCATGACCAACCCACCGACCCAATAACTTATCAACCCACCTCAACAACCTACCAAACCATCCATCCGTCCACCCTCCAGCCCATCCATAAACAAACCTACCAACCCACCCATCGTCTCAGCAATAAACACACCAAGCCACCTACAAAAACCAACCGACTGACAAATCACGCAACTCACAGGCCCACCCACTGACCCGTCAGTCTACCAACCCATCGACCTCCCAACAAGTAGCGATTTATTTATCAACATAACAAACTATCAAACTTTCAACCCAATGACCCACGAACCCACCTGCCAACCACCAACCCAATAGCCGACCAACCTACTTCAAACCCATACCTTTACCTACCTGCCTACTTACCTACCCACTAATCAACCAATCGACCCACCAATCCACTTACCACTCTCCCGACAAACTGTTCACCCACCAACCGACCAACCATGAAATCAACTACCACACTACCGAATAACCTACCAAGCAACGAATCAACTATGAACCAAACTAACCAACTAACCGTACCACACACAAATCGTTCAGCGAACATCCAACCAAATAACGAGTTAACCCACCAACCTTCTTGCCACACCATCAACAAACCGTTCACCCACCAACCAAAGAATCAACTATCAATCCACTTACCAAACCATCAGCAATACGTTCACCCACCCACCCACCCACCCATCAAGCAACCCACCAAGTAACGAATCAACCCATCAACCCACTTATCACACCACCAACAAACCATTCACCCATTAAACCACCAAGCAAAGCAACCCACCGAGCAACACACCAAACAACCCATACATCAACGCACCAAGCAACCCATAAATCACTGACCTCCTTCCAGAGTGCTGAACGCCTGTGTTCTGGTGGGAGTTCCCGGACCGGCACCGTTGACAGCCTGGACCTGAGGAGATAGATAGATAGATAGATAGATAGATAGATAGATAGATAGATAGATAGATTGATTGATAGATAGATAGATAGATAGATAGATCGATCGATAGATCGATAGATCGATAGATAGAGAGATCGATCGATCGATCGATAGATAGATAGATAGATAGATAGATAAATAGATAGATAGATAGATAGACAGATAGATAGATAGATAGATAGACATCCTGTCAGGCTTACAGGGATAAATGATCTCTGTCTGGACTTCTGCACGCAACCACTAGACATAAGAACATCATATAGGTTTATAATTA